GGGGGGGGGGAGGTGCTCTGATGTTTAAACTTCTCAAGTTTGTCACTTGTACCAAGAAGCCTCTACTTTGGGATCAGCCCCAACCTGTTTCAATTTTCCTAAATGCAGTGTCAGGAGTGTGACTGCTCTCCGACACACAATCTGTACCTGCTGCCTCCAGAAGGAAGGCCCTTAAACACTGGTTCCTCCCCCTGTCTGCACCTACTGGGGCAGCAACTCTGAGTAAACTTTTGTTCATGATATTTTTTTTTAAATCTTCACCTGAGGATATGTTTTTATTGACTTTTTAGAGAGAGGAAAGGGGAGAAGGGAAGAGAAACATTGATGTGAGAGAGAAACATGGATTGGTTGCCTTCCATATGCACCCCAACCCCAATCGGGGATCGAACTTGTAATCTAGGTATGTGCCCTGACCTGGAATCAAACCTGCGACCTTTCAGTACACAATGTTCCAACCAACTGAGCCACACCAGCCAGGGCTGTTCATGTTTCTAAATGAATAATGAGTTGGATCGGGCACCACTGTCCTGGCTGGCAAGGTTTAGAGGGCTGACTCAATAGGCCCCAGTGACCGGACACAAGACCACGGCCCACCGCTGGGCTGGGACGTGTCTGCCGCGGGTACAGGCCATCACACCTCTTACCCTCCTGGGACAGGGCACCTGAGACTGCGGGCTCTAAAACCACTGCTACCCTGCAGGATGCTCCAGCCCTTCAATATCCTGCGTGTACGCAGAACCTCCTTTTCTCCAAGAAACACTAGCCCACCGGCCCTCCTCTGTCAAGCCTAAGTTTTAAAAATCCAGGAAACCGAGACTTTCTGTACACGTGCGGTGCAAAGCCTCCCCACTGGCTGGACGTCTTGCATCCTACACAAACTTGCTGTTTCTTCACGAAAATGTCCCGTGTTAGATCCACGTGTCACAGAGAGGTCAGGTGACGGAAAGTACATATGTGGACCACGACAGGTCACTAAACCACAATTCTCATCTTTCAGACATGCCCGGCCCTGGAATTTCTGGTCTGGGGCATACACACAGCTGCAGATAGAAGCCACTTTCCTTATTTCCTTGGGGATCCCACCACCTCTCCATGGAGTTTGCTCCGCTTCCTCGATGCTACAATGACCCGTCCCTGCTGGACTGTGTGGTCCCGCAGGAGGCAGGTGCTGGAAGGACCTCCCCAATGCCGGGAGGAACCGCCCTGTCACTCCCATTACTGTGCAGGTCTCCACGTCTGTGCAGGTGCCCTGGCAGGTGCACCTGGGCGACCACCACAGAAAGCGGGGATCACAATAAAGAGTGTTGTTTTTCTGCTGGTGGTGCCTTCAATTTGTTATATAAAAAAAAAAGTGCCCTGAGCACTGCAGTTCAATCCCTGGTCAGAGCGGGTACGGGAGGTGATCAACAGATGTTTCTCTCTGTCGCTCTCCCCCTTTCTAAAAGAGCCACTAAAAACACACTCGGCTGAGGGTAAAACACAGAAACGCGCCACCTGGGACATGCAGTGAACTGAGACAGGCCTGTGCTTAGACACACACAAGACCAGAAGCCACCAGCACCCTGGTCAACTCTGACACAGAGCGACCCCAAAAGACACTGAAATGCCCCAAACTGGGACGTTGCTGACGGGCTTACCCACAGCTGCTGTGCGCACATCAGCACAGCCCCAGCCCTCCCAGGGGAGACCCTCCAAGATGATGGGGTGGGTGAGGCCGGCTGTGCTCTCAGGTTTCTGAAAGCTCCGAGTGCTGGCTGCTGGGTGGGGTGGGGCGCAGCTACTAAGGCTGCACTGGGCCAACAGGTGACCATCTGCTCAGGAATCAGAGGAATTGACTGACCGCCAGACTCCAAGGCGAAGTCCACCATGCCGGTCTTGTCCTGGGAGTACAGCTTCAGCGCGTTGTTCACGATGACGTGTGCTTGCTAAATGGGAGCAGGCACAGGAGGGGACGCCGACCCAGGGAGGAGAGAGAAGGCTGTTAACACAGGTGTGGGCGCCAAACGTTTCAGGGAGAAGGCTGTCAGTTGGCCCTATTTTGGGGATAACAGGCACGGGGGATGTTTTGGCAAATCCAAACTTCAGTCTGCACCACAGTGGGGCCCCGGGCAGACATGGGAGGGCACTGGAGCCTGTTCACAGGGCGCACACCGCCTCCCAGCCCCTCAGCCAGAGGCCCTCTGGTGCATGAAGTGGTGACAAAGCAGGTTCTGAGCAGGGAATGTGACCTGGCACCGTGTGTGTGGCCACCAGGCAGATGGCACTTTGGGGTAAGAAGGTTAATAAAACATAAAGCACCCCCAAGAAGCAGCTATGACGGGGCCCGACCGCCTCTCTGCACCCTGCCCTGTACGGAGCACCCTCGAGGTCACCGCCATATCTCCGCTGCTGAGGAACGTGGCCACCCTCTCGCCACGACAGGTTTAACCTCTCCTTGATATCCACCTACCGCTTCTGTGATCCCAGAAACCCCCTCTGTGTTCACTGCGGACATGACAACGTCCGACGTCGGCATCTGTTTGGTCACAGAAACGTGGTAGGAGATGTTCTTCAGTATCCGCAGCTCCAACTCTCGCAGCAGAACCTGCAGCTCGTCCTTGCCGACAAACTGAGAGGACAGCCTCTGGATCAGCCAGTCGAGAGACCCACCTTGCTGTTCGTCCGAGAACAGGAGTCGGACGGTCTCTCTGACTTGGGCATCGACCTAGTAAAGTCATGAGAAAACAAAGCAGAAATCATTTTGGCTCCGTACTCCCGTCTCCTTGGGTACCGAGGCAGTATCCCCAGCTCAATGCCCATCATGTAAACGACACGATTTCCCCTTCATGTTAAACTTAAGAACCCCCCGAGAAACGCTGGAGTAGGCTAGAGAGCGCAGGAGGCGGAGAGGGCACGGCCCAAGTGGAACGTGTGCCTGCAGGCCGAGGGAGGAGGCGCTGTGTCCAGGTGCCAGCCTCGCCCACCCCGGCATCTAGGAGGCCCACGGGGGAGGCGCAGAGACGAGGTGCGGAGATGAGGGACACTTTAAGCGTAACCGTGTATCCAGAAATACCCACATGCGTTATTTCCACACACACTTCTGTACAGAACGGCACTGGGCAGAGGCGGGGGAGCAGCCGGCATCCTGGGACTGTGTGCAGCACTCACGCACCCAGGCAGGGCTGAGACAGTCCGCAGCATGGACTGCCCTGACTGGCCATGGGAATGCTGGCACCCGGCCCCGCAGCCCCTGCCTGCTAACGCCATAACGTGACACTTGGAGGCTGCTGGCACCACGGCCTCCTCTCCGGGGGGCGTCACACACAGCGTGGTAGCTCGTTTCAGTCTGTGTCTTTGCAACTGGTTAACAACTTAAGACTGTCTGCCAAAGGCTGGAGGCATTCACAATCCCGCCAGCCGCAGGAACTCGTCACCTCTCCCCCCACGAGCTTGAAGAACAGTCACTAGGCCCTGGCCAGTGGCTCAGGGGTTCGAGTGTCGGATGGCGCATCCAAGGGTCTCGGGTTCTATTCCTGGTTAAGGGCACGCACCTGGGCTGCTGGTTTGGTTCTCTGCCCCGGTCTGGGCGTGTGCGGGAGGCAACCCACCGATGTCTCCCATCTGTGCCCCCCTCTTCCCACCAACTCTCTAAAAAAATCGGTGGGAAAAAAACCCCTCAGGTGAGCATTAACAAAACAAAACCAGTCATTCATCTCATTCTTTTTTTTTCAACCCGCACCTGAGGGTGTTTTTTCGATCGCTTTTCAGAGAGGTGAAGGGAGAGAGAGAAACACTGATGTGAGAGAGACACGTAGATGGGCTGCCTCCTGCACACACCCAGACCAGGCCGGGGATCGAGCCTGCAAAAGAGGTTCGTGCCCTTGGCTGGAACTGAACCCGGGACCCTTCAGTGCGCAGGCTGACGCTCTAACCACTGAGCCAAACAGGCCAAGGCCAGTCATTCATCTGAATTTTCAACCTGTGACTGAGACGAAGCTCCGGGCTCCCATGCCTGGCCCACGCTGCCACTGTGTCCCACTAACTCAGGCTTCCCGCACAGCAGGGACGTGCTTGTCCCCCACCTACTGACTGACTTATGGTGACTTCTGCATGCAGATGTTCCCACTTGCTGCAGCTCTAAGCGTCTCGGTCCCTCTTCTGCACAAGGACATGGGCCTGAAGGCAGGCCAGGGACGCAGGGCACGAGACAAAGCTGCAGGCGCAATGAACGCCAGCGCAGGGCTGTGCGCACAGCCAGCGGGGGAGGGTCACGCAGTGTTAACGTGGCACGTTACCGGACGGGAAATTCAAGAGAGGACGCTTTAATTATTTTAAAATTTTAAAATCTTCAAATACAGTAAAATGAAGTTTTAAAAAGAAAATTAATAAACATTAAATAACTCGCGTGTTCTTTTACTTTTTATGATCACACAACATGTAAAATCGGAGGAAACTTACTTTTTCGTGTATTGTGTGGACCTTCTCACAGCCGTTCTTCAGAGGCTGCCAAGCTGACAATTCTGATTTCAGGTAGCCCAGCTCGCGCTCCAGCTCTGTCACCATGGACAGCAGGTGCTGCTCTTGCTCTGCCCCGCTGGCAGTGGGGTGGAGTGGGGGGGAGAACAGGTTCAGTGAACTCTGGTAGAAGCTGTGCGGCCCAAGACCCAGTGTGCGACTGTCAACCTGTCCCACACGCACAGGAAGGTCCCCACATTCAAGTCCGAGTCCCCGAGGTTCACCCACGCCTGTGAGGAGGCACCTACCTGCCTAATGTGTGCTAACAGGGCCGGGAAAGCTCTCTCAAAGCTGTTCAATATTTACTCTCTCTCCTCATAATTATAAAAAAGACTTCAAAGGTGAGATCGTATTTATCAGTAACCATCACAAAGCTGAGTATGAACTTTTCACGCTAATGGATGGGATTAGTGAACTAAAAATGTATGGTTTCAGCGTCAGGTTTAATAACATTTTTTTGTGTAGGAATTGCATAATATAAAATACTGCAATATTATATTAGTATTTGGTTATGAGTAGGTATAGTAACTGAGACACCAACAATTCATACTCTAAAGAGCACACTCCCAGGTCAACACTTGAGGGTCTGCATATCAGCACATCGAGGGTCTGCATATCAGCACATCGAACACATTTCTATTGAACAGGCTGTGGTTCATCCACTGTCCTTCCAGGGGCCACATGGCCAAACCCCGACAGCAGACCCACAGCACACACAGCAGCCCGGAGAGCACAGGGAGACTCAAGCTCCTCGCTGGGTCCCTGGTGGAGTCTCAGGAATCGTTGAGCAACGAAGGGTGAAGGTGTCATATTTAGACAAATGGGGGGTAGGGCGTAGGGGCAGGCATGACTTGTGTGGATGAATTAAGGGGTGAAGAGACAGGCTGCGCTCAGAGTCGAGGGAAGGGGAAGTCCATAGTGTCAGTGACTTAGGGGAAGGGTGGCCACAGAGGGACGCACCAGGTGCAGTGAGGAGCCAAATCTCACACCCCAGGAAGCTGCTGAGGGACTGGACTGTTCAGATGGCAAAGAACTGGCTCAGAAGAGGCCAGGAGCCCTGCTCAGAATAGGACAGGCTGCAGCCTTGCTGCAAATGGCCCATTTCACAAGGCAGAGGTCTTGCCCACACGACAAGGCTGAGCTTCGATGCCCATGGTGCCAGCTGAGCGACAGGCACAGAGTACCCCCAACCGTGACATAAGCCCCACTTATCTGCACACTGAGGGCAGCCCTCCAAGCACCCCAGGTCAAAGGAAGGGGTGCCACTGCCCTTGGGAGTGCTGTGAGCAGAGTAATGGATGGTCACCTCTGTACTCAGGTGGCTCCAGAGGGCTGCCCAGGAAGACACACAGCTGTGAGTCCCCTACAGAGGCCTGTCACCCCCAGCGCGGCTGCCCCACCCCAGGACGAATACTGAATTCTCCTACCTCTCTGTCCTCAGCTTGGTCTGTTCTAATTCCTTCTGGATGGCCTAAAAAGTACGAGAAACACTCTGTTTGCACCACCACGTGGTAATGTCTCAAAAAACCACGCACTCGATTAGCTCTATGCACACACTGGACGTGTAAACTGGCGTCTGTCAGGTTTCTCCTCCACAACCCGGAGTCCAGGCCTGCAGGCGGGCAGGTGAGCGGCTGCCTCCTCAAACTCGGAGAGAGGAGCGCCGGCCACCAGGGACAGCTCGATGCACCTTCCACATGCGCAGCTCGGGACCAGCACCAGGGCCCCGGCAGTCGCTCCCGTGGTGAGCACAGGACAAGGGAACACAAACTCCCCACTAAGAGCTGACAGCAGGGTCTGCTCCCAGCACAGGCCGCCACACTGCACCAGGTGGACAGGCCACACCTGAGCACAGGTCTCTTCCCGCAGACTCAGGGCCGGCCAAGCGCAAAGGAGGCCAAGTGAGGCCCCTCCCCTCGGCACCACAAAAACACCTCACCAGGTACCGAGCTGAACTCGCCCAGCTGTGACACGGTTGGTAACACAGCACCGTCCGAGGTCCCCAAAGGGCTGTGCCCCACCCAACGCTGAGGTCAGCCAGCAGACAGGCCCCCTGCTGTGCCTGCTCTGTGCCCAGTGCAACACTCTGGCCTCTGGCCTCGGCCTCTATCGACTTCAGGTTTCCCCACCAGAAAACTGGCAGCTTCTGTCAAAGATCAGGTCCCTCCTCTCTGGAGGAGGCTGACAAGCAGGAGGCAGACTCGGGATCTGGCCCCCGGCTTTCCCAGCCGTGCCCTGTGGCCTGGCCGACACCCGGGTGCAGGCCTCCCCCTCGAAAGGCACCTTGGAACCAGTGGGCTGGACACACTCATGAAGCATCAAAGCAGTAAAATGGAGCCACTCAGGGAAAACTTGGGAACAGGCAGGATAGTCTCAGTTTTACAAAGGACAGTAGCCAACACGTGAAAGGGGCACCTGAACAGCTGGGGAGTGAGGACACTGACCCCATGGCTTTTACTTAGGGAAGCATGCTGCGGGGCCACAGCGACAAGAAGGACTACCTCGGCTTTCTCTGCCAGTCGTCCCAGGAGGTCTTCCAGGCTGGAGATGCGCAACTCGTGTCCTTGGGGGAAGGTCACAGAGTCGGTCTTGAAAGGAAAGTGAGCAAACGGCAGAGAAAGGTAAGCAGCAAATAAACAAAAACCTGGCAAGTTATTTCTACACAAAATATCCAAAACTTAGAGAGCGTTTGGTCAGCCTGGCATAGCACCCTGGGAGGGTCACCCGCCCCCCCCCAGCAGTGCTCACCTTCACCTCCAGCTTTAGAGACCTAAGACCGGTGCAGAAACGCACAGGGAGCTTTTGTGGCTACTGCGGATCTTAACTAAGAGGCCCTGTCGTCACCAGAACACGCTTGGAGAAAGCAAATCAACCACAACGTGTCCAGTAGCTATTCCTGAAGCGCCCGCTGCACTTGGTGACTTGAGGTTGAAATAATCGGGAAACACTTTTATTCCTCCCCAGTCCCTTACACGCCCATGAAAAGTGGCAGGTGGACATTTATTAGGAACAGAGCCCTGGTAACACCCTTCAGAGCAGACGGTCTCAGGCGACTAAAGTAACTAAGCACTGAGTGGCTGGGCCCGGCCTCTCCTGTGGGCAGAGAAGGGAGTGACAGGCGCGTGACCTGAGGGAAGAGCCAAGCTTTCAGCACAAGGTAACTGCTGAAAAACAGTAAGTTTGCTCAACATCTTCCCACCAGCTTCTTCAACAATTCTTAGAAGCCGAAGCTACAGCAAGATGGTGAGACACACTCCCTGGAGGGTCTAGGCAACCACTGCCAAGCCCACCATCAAAGGACAGCGGCCCAGGGCCAGCAGCAGGCAGAGAACAGAGCTGCTCCTCGCAAAGACTACAACCCAGGCCAGGAGACAGACCAAGAAAGCAACCTCCCTTCTTGTATGAGGAGTCTCACTTAATGTACACCCCGCCTCACTGCGAAACATAACCGCAATGACTTACAAAAATTCACATAACAGTGAGATTAAAAACAAGATAAACCAGAGCACAGGGATGCAGGGCAGCTGGAAAGACAAGCCCAGGGAGCGGGAATGGAGAAAGGTGTTCCTAAATCAGCTGTCAGCTTCCTGGCACCCAGAGTCTGCCCAACTGGACGGCCCGGGAGAACTTGGTGCCACGGTGAACCGGTCCTATGTCTGAGCCACCAGCCACGTGCACCACTGTGCACTTGAAATGTGGCTACTGCAACAGAGAAACTACATTAATTTAGTGTTAATGTAAATGTACAGAGCTCTGTGCACCTGGCGGCACATGCTGGAAAATGTACCCATGTAAGAAGGATATGTGCCAGGAGCCCAGGGAAGAGACAGCAGATCGCCAACTGCCAGGTAATTAGATAAGTCATGTGGCCGCCTCAGAAGAAAGTTGGACTCTGCCTGCCTCAGGATCCCCATGACCACACTGTGCCAGGCAAACATCGGAAGGCAGTGTAACCGCAGCAGGCACATCTGTACTCAGCTAACCAAACTTAGAACCTGTCTTAACATGAGTTTACAGAACACTCCATAAACTGACTCTTTTTCTAAATGCCACTTGTTTTCTTTAAAAGAGAATGCACGTAAACTGCCGTAAAGGCTGCCAGCCTGGGCCCCGTGGGATCCTGAGCCCGCAGGGACTTGATGTGCTGCGGAGCAGCAGCTGTTTCGCATGGACCACGAGCCTCTGCACAGGTGCCTAGTTTACTTGGTATCCCAGAGGAAAGAACTGATGGCCCACTCTCCTCAAAACTGGTGCATTTTCTCAGGTTCTGACACAGAAAACACAGCCACACCCCACGGCTGTGCCTCTCACGTCCTGGGTTCCCAGAGGAAACAAGACGGGAAGGGCCCCCCAGCCTCACCTTGGAGCCCAGCAGCCCACCGGCTTCCAAGTCCTTTAGATGCTGCCCCACCAGGCTCTTCACCAAAGACGACATCCCTGCACCCCTGCCATCCATCTGGTCCACCCGCACCTGCAGCTTCTGAAGCGAAGCTGTCAGTTCTCTCAGCTTCTCGTCACGGCTCTGACACTGTCCAGACAGGGAGGTCACCTGCCTTTCTACCTCATTCATCCAGCGCCAGGGAGACGCCTCAGCGGCACCCTGAAACAGAAGAAGGCATTCCCACAGCAACGCAAGTGAGATGTTACACCAGCAGCAAGTAACCCTTAGTGCACGCTAAGTCAACGCTACAAAACAGAGCCCTGCACGGGTCGGTCGGTCGGGCACTGCCCCGGGCTCGAGGGATTGCCGGTTCAATTCCCAATCAGGGCACATGCCAGGGTTGCAGGCTCCATTCCCAGGGGGTGTGTGCAGGAGGCAGCAAGTTGCTCTCACATCAATATTTCTCTCTCACCCCCACCCCCCCCTTCCTCTCTCTCTACAAATCAATAAAAAATCTTTAACAAAAAAACACAACACAGAACATTACTGCAAAACATCAACTATAATGCACACGAACACATGAGAGGAAAATGCGAGCACGTCCGTCATCTGTGAGTTTCCTACGTGGCAGGCTAGGCTGGTTTCCACTTCCTTCTCTACACTTTCTATGCTTTCCAAAGTAACAAACACTGTTATTCTTCAGATTAACTGAATTACGAGGTTACGTTACAGATGCGTTATCTGAGCTATTCCAGAGCATTTAAGGAGCTTGACATTTAAAGTATTTTCTAAACCAGGTGCCCGGCTGAGCGGCCTGCTCGCAGTCGTACGAAAGCATCCTCTCAAAGCAGACCTGCAGGGCCAGGTGAGAGCCTTCAGCTGGTTACCTCGGGAGGCCGGCTCAGGTGGGAAGTATCCGGCGTGAACATGTCCTTGGGATCATCGGCCCTCTGTGTTCTGAGTGTGTGCGTCCAGTTGAACACGGGCAGGAGGGAGAGGAAACCGCCCTGGCCCCGCAAGGAAAGGCCTGCGCCTGGAGGAGAGGAAACCACCACGGCTGCTGCGCAGCACGTGCACCGCCTCCCGCGAGGTGCACAGAGGCACGCGACCCTCACTCGTTTACATGCGTGTGCGTATTAACCATGAAGGCCACAAAGCCAAACCCGACTTACCTAGCAGAAGCAACAGTGGAATGAGCAAGATCAACAACCTGCAGATGCTTCGAAGGCCCCTAAGGACAAGAGGAAAGGTTTACGTGGAGGCGGCGCGGGGCAGGCTCCCTCCCCAGACGATCCCTACAGAGCGGGCCCACTGTAGGCGGGAGTGCAGGGTCAGAAATGCAGCTACACTTCCGCCTGCAAGGTGTGTGCACCCACAGGAGAGCCGTGCCTCCTGGCCCACGGCCCACGTCAACAAGCAGACACAGGCTATGCCCGGGGCTATCGGAAGGGCACCGGAGAACCTTGGTCATCTGCCCACTGAGGTGACCTGGTGCCGTGGGAACTGCCCCAGAGCAGTCAAAGGGCCTGGCCCAGGGCTGACACCCCCTCCTCACTGTGGGGCCTGGGCCTTGCCCCCTGACCCCTGCCCGTTTTCCTCAGGAATGGCACCGGCCTTTCCCTTCTCACAGGGGTGGTTTGAAAAATTAAATAAGAACACGGGAGCATTGGTATTAACATACCAAACAACAAAAACTGTAAATATAAGCTAAATCACTATGAAAGAATAAACCAAATGACAGCCTGCAATTAGCCCAGAATCAGTTCCTTAAGACTCGAGGCTGACGTGACGTCAGTTTCCTTACCTTGTAAGAAGAAACACATTCAGCCAAGAAACCAAAGTAACGAACTGGTACCATCCACTCCCCAGCCACCAGAATATCCTGGCGGCGGCCTTCCCTGGAAGAGAGAACAGCAGGTGGTCTCGGGGACCGTTCCCAGGAAAGCAGGCTCCCGAAGGAGCTGTTCCAGCGGAGGCGGCGCTGGAAGCACCAGGAGGCTGACTAACAGACACTGGCGAGGGGGTGAGGCTGTGGTGAGGGAGGCGGTGTGTTAGGAGATGCTGGTCAGCACGGCGGGCGCATCCGCACGCTCCACACGGACAGAGACAAGCTGCAAAGCCACGCGGAAGGCTCGTTAGCACACCAGACAAGATTCGGGACAGGACACACCAGGGCATGCGTCTCCGTTACAGTCCAACCAGGCAGCTGGACTCACAAACCCCGACAGCCGAGGGACAGAGACAGCCCATGCAGCCCGAAGCACAGGTGGAGCACGTCACAGCGAGGGGCGAACACGGAAGCCTAGCCTCACATTCTGGCCGGTTAGGTAGGCCGTGCAGTGCAGGTGTTAACTGCCCGGGACCCAGAAAGAGTATGAACACAAAGCCAAAATAACCACCTGGAGCCAACACGGCCAACCAGAGGACCGACAGCACGGCCTGCGCCGCAAACCGCCCCGCAGCTCCGATCCTCCGCAGCGTCTGCTTGGAGACGTGACCTGTGGCAGACGAGACGCGCAGAGGCACACTCAAACACAGACAGAGACAGCGACCACGCGGCACGCCCACGGCTAGTGCGACTCTACCAAGACTCTCTCCTACCAGAAGTCAACTCCCTTCTCAGGAAAAAGCACAGGACACTAAGTCCAAGCCCGACACAAAACAAACTGAGAGCCCTGCTCTCCGTGAACAGCCTCCCTCCCTCCTGCCCGCAGGCCCGGGAAGCCCCGTGCGGTGGGGCCGCAGCCCGCAGGCTTCACTGGAGCGATGATGAAATGCTTCGAAGGAAATAAAATTCCGCAGGGGAGACAGTGACGACTCAGGACCCAGGAGAAAGCCACCCCACAGGCGCACGTCCTCAGCACCCTAGGGCCACTGGAGAGTGAAACCCTGCGCCTGCCCCAGCGCCCGGCTCGTAAGACTCACAGCTGCGGGGCCAGTTCCTTTCACTTCCAGGAGCAGCTGCTGAAAGGTGCAGACGCCCTTAGCACTTGTGCGCTGACTCCCGAGACTATTAATTCCAACATGGCTCACGTGGAAAGAAATGTGGCTTAAAAGGGTTTTAAAATCTATTGTTTTATGTTTATTAACAGCTGACAATTAATTTTAAAGTTCAACTTTAAAAAAACAAAACACAAGGCTGCCTAAAACAAGGCCCCGTACCGAGAAGGCCGCAGTGTGAGCTGGAGGACACCTAACTGGTGTGTGACTCCTGGTCGCACAGCTCAGGGTGGACAGCGGCTCCGCAGGCGGGTGTTCCCACCCCGGACGGGAGGGACCAGGGTTTTACGAGCCTTTAATTAAGCCTCTAAGGGGTCCTTTGCTTGTACTCCTAAATGCACTTACAAAGTCATTTAAGAGAGGCAGTCCCCATATTTTAAACCAAAGGTAGGTGAATCCCATCTGTTTCTAATGAGCCCTGAATTCCAATACAAACAAGAAAAGACATTTGTGCGGAACATGGTAAAACAAGAAAACTGCGATCAACCTGCGCGGGAAAGGGCGGTCCCTGCGGTCCCCGCTGCCCTTCCTGTCTCGGAGGACTGCAAGTGGGTGGCTGTGTGTGTTTCAAGGTGCTCCAGCCCCTCATAGTCATTGCCTGCGGGTGGTGGTGACAAGCAGTTAATGTGACAGATTAATATGCAAATCTTGTCCATTTGAAAACTGTGCACAACAATGGCAGTTCCAAAAAAATTAGGAAACTCGATTATGAAAAAAGACAAGACTCAAAGCAAATGCATCCCGGTGGTTAGTAGCTTCTACTGTTACGGTGTAAGCAGGAGCTCTGCCAGCCCTCCCACCGTGAGGGCCACGAGCCCCGCGGACGGAGCGCCGACGGCATCGGGGCCACGGCACAGGCCGCGGGAGCCCCTGCGGAGCAGAGGGCGCGAGTGAGGCCATACTTACACAGCGACTCCCCATTTACACTGAGGCGACCGTCCTCTCTGAGACACTCTTTTACTGTCATCCTCCCACAGGGATCGGAATGAGCTGCAACACACGCAAAAGAGGCTTAGGAAGCTCCGCGAGGTCCAACCGTCTCAGACCCCAAGGGAGCCGCAGGCCGGAGAACAGGCGAGGCCGCCCCTCCTGCTTCAGCGCGGCTGGGGCTGGCGCGGGCAGGCGAGCACAGGTGACGGGCTCTGGCTAGGAAGAGATTTTCAAGTCCCACCTGGCTAAACAGTGCGCCCACCACTGTAATACAAAGATGGGCTGCTTAAAAATGTTAAAAACATCATTCTAAATGTCATCCCAATAAATTGTTTTTGCTTTGAAAAAGTAGAATCAGAAGTTGAGTATATTAACTTATTTAAAAAGTGACTGACAGCCCTGGCCGGGTGGCTCAGCTGGTGGGAGCACCGTTCCCTACGCCCAAAGGCTGTGGGTTCAATTCCTGATCAGGGCACACGCCTAGGTTGTAGGTTCAACCCCCGGTCAGGGCGCGCAGGTGGGGCAACCGATCGGTGTCTCTCTCTCGCTCTCCCCCTCTTGAAAAAAAGTCAGCGAGCACATCCTCGGGTGGGGATTAAAGCACAGTGACACACCAATGCCCACACACTGGTCAGCTGTCAGGAACAGCTACGTACAGAGCGCGGAGGCCCTCGCCAGCTCCCAGAGGAAGGGCAAAGCACCAGGAGAGATCTGGCTGAGGCCGCGAGCAGAAACGTGACCGTGCCACGCTGGGAAGCGCAGAGCTTTCTCCACCTTGAGAGCATAGCTTGGTGGAAAAAAGAGTAAGAAAGTAATTAAGTACCTTCTGATTCACAGCTTTTCAATTTGTAATTTTCTGATTCATAATTGAGCTTCATTAAAACCACTTGAAAAAGTTGCACTAAGAATGATGACAGAGACGCCGAAGTGAGCGTGGCCAGCCACAGAATCCTATCCACGCAGAAAGACGCACCGCCTATCAAAAAACCGTGAACACAGTTAATTCCCTCCCACAAGCCAACTCCTCCTCCCCGATCAGTCAGTCAAATAACTCGCTTCAGGCAAAGCAGACTCCGCGTTTTAAATGGACACCAGAGACCACAACCTGGAAGCCGTAATGACAAACGGCACCACCTGCGGTGACACGTCACCGCGACGAGGCAGAGCTGCCGACGCAAATCTCTCACCAGCAACTTCGTAACATACCCAATTGAGACCATTTCACCCCAATCCTGTTCACACACACACTCTCCCACATTTAGATACTGCAGTAACCACTCCCCACCTGACCGCAGCCCACTTTCCTGCATCGCCTGCCAGGAGGACTGCAGGTAAGGCATGTGCCTTCAAGGACGTGTCACAGCACTGGCAGGAGGGGCAACAGAAACAAACCACACAGCCTCGGGAGGCACCGCTCAGTCACGGAGGCTGGACCAAGGGGGCCTTGCCGCACTTGGCGCCTTTGCACTATGCCCGAGCTTCAGAAAACACCGTGTGACCCCCGAGACTTTTCTCCCATGAACCTGAAACGTGCAGGGTGATAGTCTGTAAGGTGTAGTCGCTGGAACTTTTTACCCCTGGAAAAGTTTCTTCACCGAGTGGCGGATGAAATACTTGCTTCTACGGGTCTAACACTGGGCCCCCCTTCCTCCCGCTCAGCAAAGCCCCCGTGGTCCAGAATACACGGCGTGAGGCCAGCAGGGAGGGGGACTCCGGAGCTGGAGCAATGCTAAAGAAATGAGACGAGAGCTTTGCTCGGCTTCGTAAAGCAGCGGCCGCTGGGGAACTGGCGCCTGTACGAGAGGACACACGAGGGCAGGGCTACCGGCTTCAAGCCCCTGCTCTGCACTCTGAACAGAGGCTGGAAAGGAGAAGCCATTTAGTAAGAGGTGATGCAGGGTCAGTCTCCCTGAGGATAAAACCCAAAGCCCCAATTTCCACCCATTAAGTTGAAGATGTAAAGAAGTGGAAAGAGTGTGGGCTGGAGACCCTGGTAGTGCCGCCTCGGGGCAGATGGGACAGCATTCGGGGAGTCGACAAGGAGAACCCACTGGAACTGCAACTGTACGTAGCCCTTCTCAGCACGACGCTTACTGAGAAGCCGCTGGCTGGGACAGGGCTCCGATGCATCTGAACTGCCAGCAATGGTGTCCTCAGCGGCGGTGCCTCAGCCAGCACCGCTCCTCCGTCAAGCTCGTCGCCAGGAGCCGAGCTGCTTGGCTCAGAAGCTGCCCGAGCAGTCGAGCACCCACAGGTGTGTCTGCGCAGTGGGCTCAGCTTCTGCAGCGACAAGCCCACCGCACCGGCCGGGTGCGGCCCCAGCCCGAGCCTGCTCACCACCCACCGTGAGGCAGCAGACCCTCGGCCCTCGCTTCCCTAACCACGACGGCTGCTTCAATGGGCAGAATTCTGCTCTAAACCACCAGCACAACTCACAGTTTTTCAAAGGAACCACTCGCTTTTTTAAGTTAATTTACACCCTTTACTCAGGGACGTAAGTGCTGCCTTAGGGAACACAGAAGAGTCTGTCTTCAGATTCTAACTCCTGCTACTTCTGTGTGAACTACAACACAACAGCCTGGAGGCCAAGGGGGGCTGAGGGTGGTAAGGGCGCCGGGCACCCCTTTCGACACAGCCGCATGGCCGCGTCTCATCAGCACCCTGCTTTGTGGACTGTTTGATGGCCCAAGAAAAAGACTGTGAAGCCTTTTAAAGCCTTTTGATGGGAGGCGTTAAGTGAAGTGTATCTTAAGTCAATGAGGTTCCATACAACCACGCGCCCAGTGTGACCGCTGTGTCCGGGAACCTGGACGGCAGCCCAGTGTGGGTGGCCCTTGCTGGGAGGTGGGTGGAGGCGGGG